TGTGGAGGAGAAGCGGCTCTACTCCGAGCCCCTTCCGGATGACCGAGCTTCTCACCTTATCTCTAAGGGAGAGTCCGGACACCCTGCGGAGAAAATTCATTTTAGCTGCTTGCATCCGGGATCTCATTCTTTCGGTCACGAACCATAGCTCGTGACCATAGATGAGGGTTGGGACGTAGATCGACCGGTAAATTGAGAGCTTCGCCCTTTGGCTCAGCTCCTTCTTTTCCACGACAGACCGATACTAGGTCCGCATCACGGCAGACGCTGCACCGATCCGCCTGTCTATCTCACGCTTCCTCCTGCCCTCACTCATGAACAAAACCCCAAGATACTTAAAATCCCCAACCCCGAGAGGGCACTCCACCCTTTTCCGACTGAGGACCATTCATCCCAACTGCTTCACATTTGGCTGCGAACTGCTCCAGTGAGACTTGGAGATCCCGGCTTGGAGAAGCCAACAGCGCCACATCATCTGCAAAAAGCAGAGATGCAATACTGAGGCCACCAAACCGGACCCCCTCAACACCTCGGCTGTGCCTAGAAATTCTGTCCATAAAGGTTATGAACACAATCAGTGACAAAAGGCAGCCTTGGCGGAGGCCAACCCTCACTACAAAACGATTCTGACTTACTGTGACCAATGCAAACCAAACTCTTACATCGGTGGTATAGTGAGTGAACAGCCTGTATCAGGGGCTTCGGTACCCTATTCTCCTGAAGTACCCTCCACAGAACTCCCCGAGGGTCGAACGCCTTTTCCAAGTCCACAAATCACATGCAGACTGGTTGACACATTTGTTTTGTTTGTTACATTTGTGTTCGTAATTTAGTGATGCCCCTACAAAAATGTTGTCTCCTATTGGATGGCAATGTGCATTTAAGGTTGCACCTGGTTGGTGAAAGTCAGATAAAAGCATACAAACATATTCAAGTATTTTGTAGAGGTGTCAGTTTATCGCGTTAATTGCGAATAATTAATTCCAGTCATATTAACACGTTTTGTTTTTTAATCGCGTAAATCTAAATTTTCTATCTCTAACTTTATTGTTTCCATTGGTGGGTCGCCTTTTTATAATATGCTTTTTCGTGTGTTGGCTTCCTGTGTTCGAGTAGTTAAGGGTGTGGAAACAACTGTCAGTCACAGCCTGATTGGCTGTCATTATGTTTGGGCTTGTTTAGCATAAGATGATTGGCTCCCATTGGAGTTGGGTGGGCTAAGTAAGCAGCGGTGAGGAAAGGAGAGGTGAAAATGGACGTGCATGACTGCATGTGAGAGGTCTCGGCACTATAAATGGAAAATTTACTTTTCAAAAACGCCCTGACGGCACTATTGAAAAGAGTAGAGTGCCGTGCCTAATTTTTAAGAAGGAGTTTGCTGACCACCGAGGCAGCTCAAGTTTAGCCTCCCACATAAATGCAAAGCACCCAGTCGCAAGTGCATCCACAGCTAACGTTAGCACCGAAAGCGTTAGCAATATAGCGAGTGAAGTCTGTATTCTGCCTAAAGCAAAGCTCTGCCAAACTAAACTCAAGGAGAACACCCCGCGTACGAGGCATGAAGTCAGCATAGTTGCTGTGTCCTCAGTAGCCTACCTGAAGTGGTTGATGTTTATTTCAGCACTTTATTTTGTCATGATGAACTGTGTTATTTCTGAAGTGCTAACTTACAGCACTGTGATTTAAGGGTCTCCTTTTTTTTTAATTTAATTTAATTTTTTTTATTACCTGGAGTAAGTTCAGTGTTGAGTACTTGTATTGATCAGAAAAATGTTCTTACTGATTTTGATATGTTAACCTATGCACTTTTCATGTACCTGATATTTATTTTTATTTTGTAATTATTTGGAGATTTACAAAAACAAACAAAACGGTGATATTCACCCTGGTGGTCGAAACTAAAGCTTGCAGGTAGGACTTGGGACTAGTCTCTACTACAGCAGCAAGCGAATGGCTAGGACTGCATCTTTTCAAGTCTGTTTACAAACAATGACAGACTTTATAATGCCACTTTTTTGTCTTTTGATCTGCCACAATAATGTAGTAACGAATTAAAAATGAAAATAGGCGTTTTCTCAGCACTTTTTAGATGAGATTAAAATATAGATTAATTAGATCCATTAATTGCAGATCATAATAAATTAATCTCACCATTTCTTTAATCGCTTAACAGCACTAGTATTTTGTGGTATGCATTTTGAATGTTCTATTATCGCAATGATTATGTTTCGATGTATTGTGCAGCCCTAGTAACTAACCGGCACAGAGGTCTCTGGTTTTTGTGTTGACTCTTCTGGGGTTCTCTTCAGGAGATGGGATTCAAAACAGCAATCTTCAGTATAATCACAATGGCCAGACTCCTATCCAGTAATTAGCACTATGAGCTACTTCAGGTGGTTCAAAATTAGAGTTGTTTAGTTAAAAAACATCAAGCATATTGTGTGGTTTTCCCTTGAGCATCATTTCCTATCACTTGCCAAATTAGAAAATGCTCATACCCCTGTTGAGTCAGTGCTGACAGTTGTGCCCCTCTAATTAATCCCCACAATGTTGAGGAGCTTTTGGTTTGAAAGCTAATGGCTTTCAGTAAAATGTTACAAAGATACAATCTAGGTTGTGTTTGCATACAAACCAAAAAAAAAAGCGAACAAACCATGACGTCTATCGCGTACATCCACGGAGCACCAAATTTGTCTGCTTGCGCCTCGATCAAATATAACAAAATCGCGTTCGAACCCCTGCTGTGCAAAACAGACCTTTATTCAGCTCGTGTCAAATGTATTCTACTTTTTTTTAACCAAATTTGCAGATGCGCTGCGGGGCGAGGCAGAAATGCCCATTGAGGCGTAGCACGTCTCCCAAGTTCACAAACACGCTGAACAAGAAAACCATGATCGCAATCTCCTTTGTCAATAGTGATGAAAGACTATTTTTCTTTTAATCATAAAATTAGTTAGAAAACATGACTACAGTTTCTCTGACAGTGGATTTTAGCAAGGCTAAGTCTACTTTTAGCAACGGTACTTACTTGCACAGGCACATGACCAGTGTGTTACAAAATGAATGAGAGTAACAATGCCATTCTTATCAGCCAGGTTCTGTTGATGCGAAATACACCAGGAGAGCATGGAGGCGCTTCAATGAAAAGAATAAAAAAAAATTAAAAAAAAAACAGGTGGATAGAGCAAGGGTTTGAATTTGCTCTCTCAGTTTGCACTCCGCCTCACGGCCGTGGAGTAATTAGATCGGACTGATGGTAAGACGACAGAGGGGTTCTTGCCTCATTACTTTTGTCTCCTTCCCTCCCTACACTTCTGCCAAACAGACTAACACAGGTAGGCTGTGCAATATGTGGAGCAGCCAGAGACATTTTACAAAGTAATAAGTACAGTACAGTTGATTGGCATGTTTGCTGCAGCTGCTCTGACAGTTTCTGACATTTGTCTACGTGCAAGAGCAAAATGAGCGGAGATGGTGATGCTCATTAAAAAAAAAAGAAAAAATGTCTTTCCTTTTTTGTTTTTTTAAGCACATCAAGTTTATGAGATATGGTTTTTTTTTTTGTTTGGTTGTTCATTTTTAGGTTTGACCTCTTCACAGCCCCCCCGAAAAATGCAGAACAGTTTACTTGAATGTCTGATTAAACAAACATTTGTAAAAATTTGTTGACCAGTGTTATTTGGAAACACGTCCACAGGTATGGTATCTCGGAACTCAGGGTATGGGTGTGTTAACCAAATAATGTTGTGCAAAAGCTGTTTAATAGGATGTTTGCTGTTGTATTTTTTGACATTTCTCAATGCATTTATATTTTCATATTTCATTTCAGCAAATCATTTATTATGTTTATTACTATTTGACTTCACTGCTCTGTCACAAGCAGGAAAATTACTTGTTAAAGTTGGTCATTAAATTAGATTAGATATCCTTTATTTGTCCCACACTGGGGAAAGTAGCTTTGATCCTTGAAATTGTACAATAACTAATGATGCAATAGCTACAATATTTCTCAAAGATCTTTATATCAGAATTAGATTTATTTGTCAAATATGTAAAACACACAAAGAATCTACCTGAATATTTTCCAGTAACAACCCACCCAGAGAAATATAAACAAAAAGAATGACCAACAGAGGGAGACAGACAGGAACGCCAGCGTCCCAGCATGTTTTTCTTTGTGGGGAAAATCCAGATAACAGTTGAAAAAATTAAACTGAATCCTCGTTTAATTTTTCAAGGCCGGACCCCAACTGCTCCTCATTCTTTTCCATTTTGCGAAGAAACTCCCAAACCGCATCCATTTTGTGATTGAATTCGGTCAACGTATGAGTGTTGACCACCTGCCCCATTCCCTTCGGAAAGACCGGCAGCTTATTCCCTTCCAGTGAAGCTGCTCCCGTCATATTAGTGTTCAGTTTTGTAACTATCACTGAAAGATACATTTATATATATGATGTATTACATTACTGTAGCTCATGCAACTCGCTGCATACCTGTGTACCTGCATGAATTATAAATTATGTTTTGTAGGTCGTATTTATATTTCACAAACTCTGTTATCAAGAGCGTAGCCTTTAATTAAGGTTTAGCTTGTAAAATTTTACAACCAATGAATCTCATTCATTGAGTCTTTTTTCCACTCTTTTTTTTTAGCTACTTAGAGCTTGCCATTTTCAAGGAAATGTACCTCCTTTTTTTTTTTTTGTTGTTGTTGTTGTTTTTTTGAGAAAAACGTACCGGTACTTAATGTACTGTAGTTTACTGTCTATACTTTGAGAGACTTTCCTGGAGCTACCTACGTGCACAGAGCTCATCTTGTTTCTTCCGGAAAGCACACTCATTTAATTAAAGTGACCGTACACGTTTGTGAAGGTGTGCCTTTTTCACTTCCTGAGCTACATAGTTACTTGTTGTGTCTGCCTTTCCCACTTTTTGTTTTTTGTTTTGTTTTTTTTTGTAATTTTTTTACAGTTCCTCTTTTCTGTCCTTTTCGTTCACAGACATCCCTGGTCTTTTATAGCTGTGAAAGGAAACCCATCTTCTGCTGTCGAAGATCATGCTCTCTATCAAGGTAGGAATCGTTTTCCAACCTATGCTGTCCAATCAGCCTATTCCGGTCCAGTGTTCCCAGAAAAAAAATGTTATTACCGGTACATATTATGTCAGACATGATCAAAAAGGTGCAGCGTCAGAAAACCCTGCAGATGACAATAGTTTGTATTTTGACAAGACTAACTCATATTTTGTGTGTTTGTTAAAAGGGACAAAAGCCTCCTCAGAAGCCCGAAGCTCTTGTGTGTTTCAGTTGAGCTATGCAGAGCATTTCACCGTAACAGCCAGCAGCCAGTGGGTGCAAGGTACCTCTTCACACCATTACACTAAACTAATGCTATTCATACCTGGATGCACATTTACTTTCCATAGATGTTTCATTTGGAGTGTTAACGGTTCACAACATCCATGTTTCGGTTTGGATCTCGGTTTTCTTGGTCACTATTTTCGGTTTGATTCTGTATGTGTTGACTCAGAAAGAAAAGTTATGTCTTCCATCCATCCATTCATCCATTTTCTAATCTGCTTATCCTCATGAGGGTTGCGGACATGCCGGAGCCTATCCCAATCGTCTTCGGGCAGGAGGCTGGGTACACCCTGAACCGGTTGTCAGCCAATTGCAGAGCACTCCGAGACAAACAGCCATTCACACTCACAGTCACAATTTAGAGGGACAATTTAAAGTGTTCCATTAACCTTCCATGCATGTTTTTGGAATGTCGGAGGAAACCGGTGTACCCGACAAAAATCCATGCAGGCACGGGGAGAACATGCTTCACAAAGGAAGGCTTGAGCCGTAATTGAACCCTTCGCCACTGCACTGTGAGGCGAATGTGCCAACTTGTCATCATGCCACCAAGTTATGTGTTGTTTAAAAAAAAAAAAAAGAAAAAAAAAAGAAAAACCTTCAAAGTGTATACAGTATTCATAACATTCATTTTAATTACTATTATTAGTATTGTATTAGGTTAAACGTGAAAGAATAAATGCAGGAAATATGTTCACAGAATTATTAAACGATGGACATAGCTTGAGGTGTTTCTAAGAATGTAGCGATTTCAAGCGAGTCCTATTCTCTCCGACGCAAGATCTCCGGTGCATAAAATGACAACTCGAAGTCTGTTTCACACAACAGACCCGGTGCACTGGTCTTGCTATCATCTGATAAGTTGTGTGCATAATAAACGTCACTCAAAATAAGTATTTAGTGCTGGTCGCTAGTCTGTTCCGGCGAATGTTCGCAGAACCAATAGTGTAGCTTTGTGACACCTGACTCATTTCCGTCTTTTTTCCATGTGACCACATCATGCAGGTCTGTTTTGCACTCCTCTCAGAAGAATTAAATTTGTTTCCTGCGTTTATTTTTAGACATGATGAACAGTAGAATCTCCTCGGTAACCTCGTTTTCAAAGTGCTGATTTGCATGCAGTATTTCGCTGTTGATCGCACGCACGGCGCGATAACTCTGATTTTTGACTGCCCAAAAATTTTGGAAACCGAGATGGCGCATTTATATCGACCTATTGCACATCATTTTGAGGTATTTGGGGACATGCTGTCGATGTTTCATCAAATTTGTGTCATGCGGAAGAAAATCATACAGTGCGGGAACATTTTGTCGCCTAACCTTTTATGTGGGGAGACACAGGAGAACAGGCCACCGGGATAAGACAGCCGTTCGTTGCCAGCGATTGTGTGTGTCAAACTAATTGTGACAAATTAATTACAAAATAATTCATGAATGTCATTAATTTACTATAATTATGATGACTCGATTTGTGAAATCACTTTCTTGTGTTGTATCATCAATATAATTCAGTCCACACTGAAGGAAACTGTGAAGCCTGAAGATCTTAATTTTATTATTTTTCTTAAAAACTGATCACAGGCCATTCCATTGTTTTAAAGTAGAAACAAGACAATGTTGTAAAATTACCTAACTTCTTTAATTCTGAACATATTGACAACATTCAAACATCATTTTGTTCCTTCAGTCCAGCTCTCTCCGATGACATTGTTCTTGCTCGGAAAAAAAAGTCACATACTTAAACATGAAATGCATAAACAATCAAGTCAATAACTGCAATACAAAAAGAGCACCACCAGAGAGCGCTGTTACGTACCGCAACGTCGCAAGCCGCCAATTAGCATTAGTGCTAATGTACACTGCTTTGCCTCATTAGTAAATGAGACAAAGCGCATGTTAGGACACAAAACACCCAAACAGAATGGTTTGGACATTTATCAAAAACGGTTCCTCCTCCAATTTCAGTGCATAGTCTGTCATAAATGAAAAAAAAATCAAAATAATTATCAGTAGAAAAAAATGAACAGTTTAACATCTTCCTGGGCTGTAATTAATCAGTGATTGTGTTATCATCACGGCACCACGTTCTCATCAATAGCCTGCCTCAGTGCAATGCTGGTGTTATCGACTTTGCTTTGACCAACGCTTCATATCTGATTCCAATTAGATGCTTCTCATCTATCATCTCATCGCAACTTTATGAAACAAATTCCCCAGGCATACTAAGGTCGATATCTGCACCAAAATAGTGGCTGCATCACATATGTTTAAAGATTCATGTGTCGTCTGACTCTTTTTCAATCTTAAAATGCAGCCCACAGCCAATTATTAATCTCATACCTGTAGTAGAAAAAGTAATGTGTGGAAAGAGTCCTTCAATGGCCTCTTTAAAACCAGCCGTCCGAAAAGCCGGTCGAAAGCTCGCTTTTTCCAGATTGATGTCCTGTGTAAAACCAATTTGTGAACCTGGAATTTGTCTCCTTCCTACGATCAGAGGTATAACTCAGCCAGTTTCAACCACAGCGAGAATTTTAACACCAAAGATGTACGATTCATGCTAAATGTTGATCAAATCAATTGTTGCGGTCACAATGACATAGTCCTGCATCTAATTATGTTTTAGGTCAACCCACAACAGCTCTCTTAACGCACACTTAGCACACTACAAGACTCCACTTGTGTGCTTACAATATGAAAGGGAAGGGCAAATAAATCCCAGCTCTGCTGTTATTCTGATGCACAAATTTTCTGTGAATAAAGTATTTAAGATCGCTTGTAAATGGATGCTGCAAGTCAAGAATTTGACATCAATCTTACTTTCCATCCGACTCTGTTTGTCTGTGTGTGTCCTACAGAGGCTGAGTGGACAGAATGGTTTGACAGGGATGATGAAAGGGGATCTGGTGACTGGGAGAAGCTGACAGAACTGCGTGAGGCCTATCCCGATCGGCTGTGTAACAGTCCGCTGGACATTCAGGTAAATGTTGTACAAAGTACATGCATACAGTATGCACAGTTATTAGGTAAAGTGTACTGTAATCTGAAATTGAGGGATCATTAAGAATTACAGCATCCGCTTTGTTTTGCAAAAAAAAAAAAACTAAAGTACTGGATATCCTACATCCTGTTTTCCCCATTATTATTGCTCAGCATCCTTGGAGCCCTCGAAAAGCACAATGTACTGCGCAACAGAATAAGGTGAAGTGGAACACTGACATTATTCAGCAATCGTATACTGATTGATGTATACTGATTGACATGGGACTTCGGCATATCATCGCTAATATTTAGCATAATTGTCATTTTTGGGCCAAATTGTGCAATCTGTATAACTTTACACTCCTTCCACTGCTGCATCACCCTGCCTTTCTTCCTGTGTCCTTGGCCAATCACAACATTTAATCGAAATTTTACAAACAAAATGGCAGCGGGCATGAGAAAGAGGGCCCCCGCTGTACACAAGTGAAACATTAGCTCTTTTTTGATTCATTTTCATATATAGTTCATGTTTCTTAAATTTTCAAGGCACTAAATAAATTGTATAACTTTAGTCAACTAGGCTACTGTAGGTTCGCTGCTTTGCTCGTGGTCAGTTTGCTTCCCATAAACGTCTTTTCATAGTGCTTGTGGAGGCTCTCAGTCGTACAGGAAAGTTCCATCGTAGAAAGGGTTCTGTCAGTCGTCATCTGTACCTGTGGGTAAAAACAAAAAACAAAAAAACAAAAAAAAACATCCCCACCCAGTCCTCAAACAGGCCACGCTCAGCTTTTTAGCGCAGAGCAACTTCCCGGAGTCTTCACGGAGACTTCAGGGTTGTCTACCGCTGACGAAGCTTCTGTGAGAGAAGCGAAACGTCCTTTTTTTTTTTTTTTTTTTTTTTTTGTTGTTTTTTTGTTTTTTGTTTTTACCCACAGGTACAGATGACGACTGACAGAACCCTTTCTACGTCTTTTCATAGTGGAATCCAAAACTCGGGAGAACCTGACGACTCTATGTAGGCTTTGCACAACATGAAGTAGTGTTTCCAAGCCAAAACACACACTAAGAACACAAAAGGAGTACCGAGTGTGCTGAGAAAGTGTCAGGACGCCCATCACGCCTGCTGAGTGTCAAGGGGGATTGATACTGTTGGAGATGATAACACTAATATCCATCCCAAACTTAAAACATTGTTATGGTTGATACTCCATTCATGCAAATTTCCCCAGTGTGGGACAAATAAAGGTTATCCTATCTTATCTTAGCTTATTTTAAGCACTGTATTTGCTGTATCGTACTACGAGGGCAGTCGGTATTGAATGGCAGACTCACACAAGGACCACACCAGCGGCGGAGCTGCTTTCCATGCAGCAGTAAAAATCACAATGTGGGACGAAATCGGAGTACCCGGAGAAAACCCATGCAGGCACAGGGAGAACATGCAAACTCCACACAGGAAGGCCAGAGCCAGCTCTTCGAACCCTGGATCTCTGCACTGTGAGGTCGACGCGCTAACCCGGCGGCCACCGGGCCGACATTTCAAGTTGTTTTGGGAAATCACAGACATTGTGTCCTGTGATGTAATGAACTATATTGTCACTGAATCTGTAAATGAACTGGCGCAATGATAGTTTTATGTCTATAATAGTTCCAGCCCGAAAATCGAATGAACATGGTTAGTGTAGTGTCCAAGGTTCTTGGGCCTGGCCGTTTGGCTGTCGCCGACTACTCAGACAGACAGCGAAGGCCTGAAATGCTGATGGCAGCTCACTGACAGACACACCGGACTGACAATGCCCACCTCTGAGGATAAATATTACAACCAGCTGGTGTCTGTTATATTCCTGCACTGTATGGAGAGCATATAGTACAGTACACACAGTCAAGCTTTTTTGTCGTGCAATGTTGTGCAAAAGTCTAAGGTCAACGGTATTTGTTTTTTTCTCATGACAATATTTAACAGGAGCTAATGTGACACAGTAACAGGTTTACATAAATGAAAAAAAAAATGAAAAAAAACAATGTCCACAAAACTTTTGTGTGTATAGGAAGAACCAATTATAGTTCAATCCATTTTGACAACAATCTTTGTTTTCCAGTCTAGAATTGTTGCATCGAACAATTCCCCAAATCATATGCACTTCCCGGCTGTTCTCAGCCCTCGGCTAACAGAGCGATAGACAAGCAATCCCAACACAAATCTCTGTGAATTGTTTTCATTTCAATAATAGTTCATCTTTGGTGTGCTCTCTACTAAGTGGCTTTCTATTTATGATGATCAGTGTGGAAAACACACAAAAACACAAATCAAATGGTACTATACATCAAAAAAGAGCACTGAAACCATGCTAACTCCTTACAAGGGAGTCAAGTCAAATTACTTGAGTTAGTTCACCTGAAGTTTTCCTTGCAGATTAGCTGGTTTGATGCAAACGTTTCAGCTAGAGCAGTGGTTCTTAACCTTGTTTGAGTTACCGAACCCAACCAGTCCATGTGCCCATTCACCAAACCCTTCATTACTGAAAAATAAAAATACATTTTTTTTTTTACAAATTCAAGACATTAAAAAAAAACGCATTTATTAAAAACAGAAAAAAGTAAACACAATTAGTATAATTATATGTTTTTTAATCGTGCATAAAATGAACCAGCCATTGATGGCCAAGCGGCATGTCATAACTAATTGATATGTTGAGTCGCATGTATCTTATCCTCCATGGCAGAGGCTCTGTCGAATTCCTGAGACTGATTCACCGAACCCGTTGGGTTTGATCGAACCCAAGATAAGAACCACTGAGCTAGAGTTAATAACAGATACTTTACCAACAACCAGCCAATGTAACCTTTTTCAACTAGGATATTTTGACAATTGCATAAAACATGCAGGTTTCAGGTTTGAAATTGTCACAATTCTATAATACTCCTCTCTGTTTTGTGTGCGCTTTCTTTCCAGGCTGAAACACATGATGGCATACCCTCCAACCAAACCGGAGATGTGATCCACAAAAATAACAAAGATTATGGCTTTGTCTGCCGCAATAAAGACCAAGCTCATGGCCTCTGTCGCAACTACAGAGTTCGTTTTCTGTGTGGAAAACTTGGTAATAGTATTATTCTCAGAATGTTACAGTTTTGTTTTTGTTTTTTTAAACGTAACGTGTATGTGTATGGAAAGATATTAGTTGGACCCATACCAGTATATATATATAAAAAAAAAAAAAAAAAAAAATCCTCGTCTCACCCGATTCCCAAGGTCAAAATGGGAAACACCTCCGAAGGTGGAGAATGACAGAGCGAAGATCCTGTGGGACTTCCAGATCCAGACTGACAAGATGGTAATGGCGAACCAACCAGATATCGTGATCATAGATAAAGGGCAGAGGAAAGCCGTTGTAGTGGATGTAGCGGTCCCAAGTGATGGAAACATCAGAAAG